CCAGGACAGGCTCCAAAGCCACAGAGAAACCCTGTCTCAAAACACACACCTTTTTTCCTAGAAAAAAAATGACAGAGTGGGCCATATTTGACCTTTTCATCTCATGGCTGTTTCAGAGGGCTGTGAGCCTGACAAAGCTTGGCATTCGGGCTACTCACGAGTCCCTGGCTATGCTGGTGAGCACACTGTGGCCTATCAGAGGCTTGCCCTGTGTGGCTGCAGCCCTACCAGCACAGGCCTGGCTTTCTGCCATGGCAACATGACAAGAGTGAGGCAAGGGACACAGGCTCTGAATGGCCACCAGGAGTCTTCTGCAGCACAGGCCAGCAGGTCTAGGTGGAGCTGGGACCACACAGAACAGAACCTCATCCTGAGTGCTTACCAGACGCCCACTGATCCCAGGTCCTTGCCACCCACACACGTACTAGAAGCTCTTCACTGCTCTCCCTGGTGCATCAGCTAGGTGATGTCTGGAGGGTTCCTCCTCGGTCCACTGACAGCCTGACCTATCCCAGCTCTTGGCCTTGTCATAGGCAGATTCTGGAAGATGCCCACACAGAAAAATGGCACAGAGGCCGGGCGTTGGTGACGCACACCTTTAATCCCAGCACTTGGGAGGCAGAGGCAGGAGGATCTCTGTGAGTTCGGGGCCAGCCTGGTCTCCAGAGCAAGTGCCAGGATAGGCTCCAAAGCTACACAGAGAAACCCTGTCTCAAAAAACAAAAACAAAAAAAAAAAAAAAAAAACCGTGCAAAAAAAAAAAAAAAAAAAAGAAAGAAAAAAGAAAAGAAAAAAATGGCACAGAACATGGACCATTACTAAAAGCCTGCAGCTTCTCCCTTCAGCCTGGACCTACAGATCATGTGTCAGCTCTAGGGTTGGCGTATGTGTGCTCCACAGAACACACAGATGAATGGCTGCTTGGAGGAAATGCCTCTCTGATGAGGAGGCCCACTTTCTCAACTGGTCCACCACAGAGGCCAACAGCACCCAGCCTTGGCAGGGGCATCTGAGGAATCCTTGGGACCATCCTCAATGTCCTTTCACTGTGGGAGAGCAGGGACCCTTTGGACACCACTGCAGCGAGGACAGAGGCACCAAGATTTCCCGAGGTCCTACCAGCCTTAGTGAGTGCCACTGGGCCAATCACTGAGCCACTCAGAGCTTCTACGTTTCTGACATCCATGGCTAGCATTTTATTTCCTTGTTGCTCTTGCACTGGTTTCTGGTCTTGGAAGCCATGCCTGGCACGTCCCAGCCTCTGGAGCTGTCCAAAGGCCAGGCAGCAGCTGTCGGGGACCTTTGCCCTCCGATTCTCATCTGTTCGTTAGCACTCTGCAATCTGAATGGCAGCAACTCCCTGCTACAATGTGGTGTCTTCCTTGACTCAGATGTCTACAAGAACTACACAGTGGTCACAGTTTCATTAAACAAGGAAGCCACAGTACCACCGGAGTAACTATATTTTTATCATCCCTAGGCCACCCTGGCCTCAGTTACCCTGGCGAAACACGCAGCCATGACAGGAGAGCTTTGGCTTGGAACACAACACACACAACCATCAGAAAACAGCTTTCAAGGCATGGTAGAATGCTGTGTTCAGATCAGTTGGAGGTCAATGTGTGTGTGTGTGTGTGTGTGTGTGTGTGTGTGTGTGTACTCCCATGTGGAAA